TTAAATCCCCTTTAGTAAGAAATAAAAAAGCATGTATTCACATTTGTGTTAGTTCATTTTAATCCAGTTTTCATTTTAATACAGTTTTCATTTTTTACATTACAGTTTTGAATACTTTTATCTACACATTTAATTTTCTTTTAAAATATAATTCAATCTACAACAGAAACAGCATAAATAAAAGTTTAAAATCAATAAGTAATCAAATTTTTTTAGTGTAATAAAATACAAGTCTCAAATAGCTAACCCGTTTATTTTTTAGAATTTCTTTCGTGGAGGTTGTTGCGAAAATTGTTTGTTCAGTGAAAGCCAATCAAAGCAGACATCTGCGCCGATTAATGCTTTGACGGCGTTAGGAAAACCTTACAAACATATCGCGCAAAAAGTATGTACTAATAAAATCTTTATTCGTGAAATTTTTATGGGCAGCCAGAAAAATATATAATTTAATTTCAAGTTTCAAAGTTTTAAACCAAACAAAAATCGCCATAAAATACCCACATCCCCAAACGAAAATATCTATCCCCAAATGGTTTCATAAATCCCCAAAATGGGGCGAAATCCCCACATCTGGCAACTCTGCCTAGTAGCAGCGCTCGGCACACTTATTTACGAACACATGCGCAAGCAAGATCGTTAACACGTTATTGTTCGNAATTTAATTTCAAGTTTCAAAGTTTTAAACCAAACAAAAATCGCCATAAAATACCCACATCCCCAAACGAAAATATCTATCCCCAAATGGTTTCATAAATCCCCAAAATGGGGCGAAATCCCCACATCTGGCAACTCTGCCTAGTAGCAGCGCTCGGCACACTTATTTACGAACACATGCGCAAGCAAGATCGTTAACACGTTATTGTTCGCCAGTATGAATTAGCACATACTATTTTTTACATATGTATAATCAATTTAAACTTAGTGAATAATTAATAAAAAAAATTAAATTGGTCGGCATTTCATGATGTCGAATTATTTTTAATAAATAGACTACAAATATAGTTAGAAATTGTTCCTCTATAAACAAAGAGGTGAATATAATAGCCTTTGCATAAAATGGCTATTACTTACCCTTTCTGTTTTAAATTTTTACCCCGCATGAAGCACCTGCTTGCCCGCGCTGCTGCGCGCGAGCTGTTCTGCCGCTCATCCAGAGTTGCCGCCGCTCAAAGAACTTTCTAACCAAGATTTGACGAAAAAGTTACCAAATGTAAGGAAAAATAACAAATTTTTTTATTATATTAACAACTCAGGTCATCACAAATTCTTTTATATAGTACGTATAGACAAATTTTACAATTCAAAGAAAATAAATTTTTATTTGCATTTTTGAAAAGTAAATGCTTTTAAGGCTGAAAATAAATGAAATACATTCATATATAAGTATATATATATATAAATACATATTTTAGAAAATAAGGCTTCCCGTATTAGGTGCATATGTATGTTAATATCTTCGTAAACATTACCAGACTCTAAATGACGTTTGTAGAATTCGATTTTATAAAAAATTTCTCTTTATTTAGTATTTAAGGTTGAAGGTTATATTATGTGGGTTCATAATTTCTGTGTAGATTATTGGCAAAATTAAATAGTGTTGGCGGTTAAGAGCAGCAGTACAAGCACCAGCTGCAATGCAGAGACCAGCCATCGCTGTTCATCTAGCATGGCAACCATCTTGTAAAAATGATACTACTGTGTAATGCACTTAGAACGGCGAGCTATCGCTCACCACGTTCCTTGCGCACGCCACGTAGAAGGTCTGCATATTCCTGATCGCCAAACACAANTTGGCAACCATCTTGTAAATATGATACTACTGTGTAATGCAGACGATGGAACGATGAGCTGTATGAGCTTTACAACGATATGGACATAGTGCAGCGAATTAAAATACAGCGGCTCCGCTGGCTTGGTCATGTCGTTCGAATGGACACCGACGCTCCAGCTCTGAAAGTATTCAACTCGGAACCCGCTGGTGGTAGCAGAGGAAGAGGGAGGCCCCCACTGCGATGGAAAGATCAGGTGGAGAAGGACTTGGCTTCACTTGGCGTTTCCAATTGGCGTCAGTTGGCACAGAGGAGAAACGACTGGCGTGCTTTGCTGAACTCGGCCAAAATCGCTTAGGCGGTTACAGCGCCAAAAAAGAAGAAGAAGAGTGTAATGCACTTAGAATGGCGAGCTATCGCTCACCACGTTCCTTGCGCACGCCACGTAGTAGGTCTGCATACTCCTGATCGCCAAACACAAATGGACGAGTTTCTACCAAGTGTTCGCTTTTATAGCATATCACAGCAAATTCATGCAAATGACATGTTGAAAAGAATACAAATGAAATACACATGTAAGAANTCCTGATCGCCAAACACAAATGGACGAGTTTCTACCAAGTGTTCACTTTTATAGCTTTTCACAGCAAATTCATACAAATGACATGTTTAAAAGAATACAAATGAAATACACATGTAAGAAAAGGGCAAACATATTACCCAGTAATTGTCAAAAGTATAAAAGAGTTGCCAGCTTTAAACTCCAACAATCTTGTACAACATAACACAATGTTTACACTAAGAATAATAATATCAAATGGCTTAATAGTAAACTGCTACAGTCTCCCCCTTTGACATGTAAACCTCGTCCCGAGTGCGTGTCAACATTACTAGCCACGGGTCTTCCTTGGACTGACACGCTTCCTTAAAGGCTGGACAGGAGCTGGAGCTTCAACTTCGTTGCTACCTTTGTAAAGGGTGAGGGCAGACACATGATAAATGCCTAGGGGGTTGTTAAGGTTTTCTCGTGAGGCGATTTCGTACGTGGACGAACCGATCTGGCGGACGATAACGTAAGGACCATGCCTTTTCGGAATGAACTTTGCGGTTATGCCCTTTGCTGCTTGACTTAGTAAGTGCGTAGTCACCAGTACCTCTGTGCCAATATAAAACTTGTCCTGAGGACGTCTGTGTTTGTCTGCAGAAGTTTTGTTACTGTCTTGTGTTCGTTGTTCAACTTCTTTCGCCATATTTAGGTCGTTAGCAATGCTTCGAAGGTAGGGTGAAATACATGGTATAAAGTTTTCGCTTTCTACTATTGCACGGACATCGTGCTGAACGTCATCAAGGGTACGGAGCTCTCTTCCAAAGGTTAAGCTGGAGAAAACCCAGTGCTTCGGCATTTCGCGGTGTTCATCGCGAATATTATGCGGTGTTCATCGCGAATCTTGTGCTTTAAGGTCTCGATTTCTGCGTTCGACCGGATTAGCTTCCGGGTGGTAGACAGGCGTAAACTGCTGTCTGATTCCCAGGCAGTAGGCGACCCTTTGCATGACTTCTGATATGAACTGGACACCATTATCGGACTTCAGTTGTCGAGGAATACCATATCGTAGAAAAACTTCGTCTATTAGCGTCTAGGCACAAACTTCCGCCGTCGCTTCTCGTAGAGGAAAACTTTCAACCCAGCGCGACGACACGTCTTCGGCAATCAATATCCACTGAAACCCTTCTTCAGTAGGTGGTAGTGGACCAAACAAATCGATTGCTATGACTTCAAAACGCATTTTGCTGCTGGTTGTCTGCAGTAGGCCCATAGGCTTCATGTTAGCTACCTTGTAGCGTTGACATTCAATACATGTCTTTATGTGCTTAGCAATTTCTATCCGCATTCCTGGCCAAAAGTAACGACCAGCGATGCGTGAAATCGTGCGCTCTATTCCATAATGGCCGGCGGTATCGTCGTCGTGATACTTTTTGAGGATCGCTTTGCGTTCATGGGAAGGCGTCGCTGCTATAATAGTATAGCACACCGTCATTTAGAACATAGCCTCTATTAGTCCACAACATAAGATTATGATCTTGGGATTCCAAGGAGGAAACGATGGTTTTGATATACTCGTCCTTGAGCTGCTCATCACGTAGTTCTTTTACGTTGCGTCTTGGTACGTCAACGTGGAATGCGCAGATGCAAGCTGGCGAAACTGTATGATTTTCGGCACTGCATGGTGGGCGTGATAGCAAATCAGCTAGGCAGTTGCTTCTTCCAGGCGTGAAATTTATTTCAAAATTATATTGTTGTGGCTGATGGTCTGTCACCGGCGTAATTTTAGCTCCCTCAATATATCCACGAAAGTTCGAACTGGCGCATACTATAGCCAAGGCTTCCCGTTCAGTTGTTGAATAATTTCGCTCAGCTGGGGTTAGTAGTCGGCTCGCATATTCGATTGGATGCTCATCTTGGCCCTCCCCCTGGAGTAAGGCTGCTCCTAGGGCATATGCACCGGCATCCGTTTTTAATACAAACGGTATGATATCCTGAGCCTGTTTCAGAATCGGCGCCGATGACAACATACTTTTCAATGAGTTAAACGACGTTTGCTGCTTTTGAGACCAACACCATACAGCATTCTTTTTGGTTAGATCAGTTAGTGGCTTAGCGATGTTTGCATACTGCTCAATAAATCGTCTGTACCATGAGCAGGTTTGTATAAAGGAAATGAGTTGCTTTACATTTTCAGGCTCTTTTCGCTGACTTATCGCTTTAGTCTTTTCGGGATCAACAAATATACCATCGTGTGTAAGGATGTGACCGAGGTACTTCACGTATTCACAGCAGAAACGGCTTTTTGCATTATTGACGCGCAGTTTGAATTTGCATACCTTAGCTAGCACGGTATTAAGATCGTCGAGATGTTGCATGAAGGACGGTGAGCAAACGATAAGGTCATCTAAATACGCAAGGAGTTGCACCTTTGGAACTGAAGCTTTGAAACGATCGATGAGACGTTGGAATGTTGCAGGCGCGTTCCGCAATCCGAATGGCATCCTATTAAATGAGAATGTACCAAACGGGGTGATAAGGCATGTCTTGTCACGATATTGATTCCTAACCTTGATTGCATTTTAGCATTTTAGCAAAAGAAAGGCGATAAGGCGGGCTGAAAATAGGCTCATGGTCGCCAGTATCGATTTTGTGCTCTGCATACGGAGTCGGTTCATCGCTGCTCCCAAATGCTTCTGCATGGGCCTAAAGAACGCTGTCGAGCTGCCTTTTCTGCTCCTGGTTCAAGCCGTTGCCATCAGATGGTTTCACCAACTTGAAGTCGATGGAGTATAGCCTAGTGAAATCGCTATCGTCATAATTTCCGATATTGTAAATCAAGCCATTGAAAAGGGATGGCAGTAATTTCCTTTCCGGAGTAACAGCATCAGCTGGTAACGCGTCTTTAAAAATAGCTTGTACGGAGTGCGGTGAGTACTCATTGTCAGAAAACTCTGGACCGTAAGATTCGAACTCAGACATGTACATTTTCGAACGATCTACTTCCCTCTCTGGCTCTTCCTCCGCTACTCTTTTCGGTCGTGTGCTTGACACTTTAACAGTCTCTATAAAATTTAACTTCAGAGGCAAAGCAGGCGCGAAATCGAAGTGTTGCATTGGATCACTCTCAAAGTACCAATACCTTTGACCCATATTCAGGACTATACCAGCCTGCTCGAGAAAATCCATACCTATAAGAGTACGGTTACCGCACGCATTAGGCAAAATAATAAACTCGATGTTGAGACGACGTCCACCAATCAAAATTTCGCAGACGGTGGATAAGCACGCTTGAGTGGATGTACTACCATCAGCTAGAGTAATCTCACATTTAACATTTCGGTATTTGCATCCCTTGAAATCCATGACGGACTTCGAGTTTGCGCTCGCTACGCTTGTACGTGCACCAAAATCGAAAAATACTTGACCTGGAACACCAAAAAGATGAACGTTTACCACAGGAATGTCTCTTTCAATACCACGAGCAGTCAAATTGTTGAAATTTGCGAAATCGCCAGCGGGTTGATTTTTATTGCGACAAGTTGTGCAATTTACGCGAGTAAAACCTGGCGCGTTACACCCATAACATGCAAATTTGGGCTTCACAGCTACGGCCTGTGCAATAGCAGCTGACTGAGCTTCAGCAGCCTTAGCTTTTTGCCTTTTGAAGCAATTTTCTAGCGTGTGCCCCTTCTTGCGGCAAAAATTACAACGTAGAGCTACTTCAGCAACACTCGCACTCTTTGGAACATGTTCGCAATTCACCGTTTTACGCTCGCTTACAAAATGTTCAGCCTCTCGTGCTTCACTAAGTAATTGCTCATAAGACGAAACCTTTTGCCGGCTTAAGAGCGAAATACACCACACAAGCGGTTTGTCAAACCGCTTGTGTGGTGTATTTCGCTCTTTACTCTCTCACGTATTTGCGCGTGCAACATACCAAACAGCATGTCTAGTTGTTCTGCTTCGGCAGGAACATTCTGCAGCTGCGAAAATAATGCTCGCTTCTTCCTAATGAAGGTGTCCGTAGGCTCGGTCTTATTTTGCTTTATATCAAAAATTTCAGAATNCTCTCTCACGGATTTGCGCGTGCAACATACCAAACAGCATGTCTAGTTGTTCTGCTTCGGCAGGAACATTCTGCAGCTGGGAAAATAATGCTCGCTTCTTCCTAATGAAGGTGTCCGTAGGCTCGTTCTTATTTTGCTTTATATCAAAAATTTCCGAATAAATACGCCATGCTGGCTTTGGTGGTGAAAAGCTTTCGCGCAGCCTGCGTACGACGTCGGCCAAATCAGCAAACTCATCCTTAACACCACGCCACCACTCTGCAGCATCACCCTCAAGCAACATTGGCATACCTTTAATAGCGTCAACGTCGTTGATTTTCTCTACCGTTTTGAACGTCGAAATTGCAGCAATAAATTCTTCTACTTTAGAAGGATTCCGTTCACCATTGTATCGCGCATTACAGGTGCTAACGTTCCCGTGCGATCGTTTGTGGTATGAACAGNACGCGAGTAAAACCTGGCGCGTTACACCCATAACATGCAAATTTGGGCTTCACAGCTACGGCCTGTGCAATAGCAGCTGACTGAGCTTCAGCAGCCTTAGCTTTTTGCCTTTTGAAGCAATTTTCTAGCGTGTGCCCCTTCTTGCGGCAAAAATTACAACGTAGAGCTACTTCAGCAACACTCGCACTCTTTGGAACATGTTCGCAATTCACCGTTTTACGCTCGCTTACAAAATGTTCAGCCTCTCGTGCTTCACTAAGTAATTGCTCATAAGACGAAACCTTTTGCCGGCTTACTCTCTTACGGATTTGCGCGTGCAACATACCAAACAGCATGTCTAGTTGTTCTGCTTCGGCAGGAACATTCTGCAGCTGCGAAAATAATGCTCGCTTCTTCCTAATGAAGGTGTCCGTAGGCTCGGTCTTATTTTGCTTTATATCAAAAATTTCAGAATAAATACGCCATGCTGGCTTTGGTGGTGAAAAGCTTTCGCGCAGCCTGCGTACGACGTCGGCAAAATCAGCAAACTCATCCTTAACACCACGCCACCACTCTGCAGCATCACCCTCAAGCAACATTGGCATACCTTTAATAGCGTCAACGTCGTTGATTTTCTCTACCGTTTTGAACGTCGAAATTGCAGCAATAAATTCTTCTACTTTAGAAGGATTTCGTTCACCATTGTATCGCGCATTACAGGTGCTAAACGTTCCCGTGCGATCGTTTGTGGTATGAACAGCACGTATCAAACGCTCAAACTGCTCCGTCGTTAATGACACAGACATACAATATGCCTCTTTGGAACCTTGACTACTAGATTAAAACAATGCACATAGTTATGTACGTAAATGTCGGGGTAACACCTGTTCAATGTTTTAATAATTTTTATATTCCAATAGTAACTTATACAATTTGTAACTAATAAAAGCAATGACTTAAGTTGGTTGCATATGCATTTTTACTACCGATGCACTGGTATTTTGATTTTCAACAATATTGCTGCATGGATGTTTACAAATATTTTACAAACGTAAATTGTAGCAACCAATTGCTGAAAGTAATTTATAGCCTTGCACCCAATTAATAATGCATATAAAAGTGTTATGAATAATTTAATTGAAAAATGGCGTCATTTCATTTGCATACATCGTTTTATTTAAACCGACGTAGTAGTAAAGGTACGTGTGTTAGATGCTCATATGTACATACTAGGGATGCGAATCCCGGGATCCCGGTGTTTTGAGGTCCAGAAAATCCCAGGATTTGCTTGCAATAGTCCCGGTATCGCGAAAAACTTGAAACTTGTTATGAATTTTGAAGTATGATTTTTGTAAAATGCCGCTTTGACTCCAATTAACAAAAAGCTTGAAACTGTTCTTTTAAATTGCAGTCTGAGCCTTTTCTTGAAGAAGATTCAAATGAATTTACTCATAGCGTCGCTAATGTAAGCGAAACAGAGAGTTTTAATGAAAAGTTAGATAACTTTTTACACCAATCTACTTAAAACTTCCTCAAATCGAAAAGCTTATAATTTGTCCGAAGTGCTGGGGTAGGGGTCATTATCTTCAACCTGACAGTTCAGTTCAGCCTAAAAGTGTTGAGGCCGAAATATATTTTTTGTCATCAGTAGGTTTTGTATGTAAAAATTTCAGGTCAAGATTAGAAGACTCCGCTTTGCTGCTTTACGAAAAAATAATAACAACACCGGCACAAAAAAGGGGCGTGTGTTGTTAACCAGACCCACCTACCAACATATGTATATATCGACCCGCTGAATCCGATTCTGTGATCCGTTTGACTCGTACACCCTCAAAATTTCGAGTAAATTGTGAAAAAAATCGCGAAAAATTCGCCATTTGCCATTTCTTTATAGAGTAGAATAAACATATTTAGAGAAATTGTTTAAATATGTATATTTTTGTTTAATGTTTTTTTATTTATATTTACTTTCAAAAGTACCTGGTATTCACATTCTTATTTGTGATGTTTACGTTCCTCAATCACATGGTTTTGTTTTAATACAATTTAAAAAATTGTTTACTTTAAAATTTGTCTGATTTAATAAATATCGCTAGCTTAGAGTGCAAAGTTGCTAAGTCCCAATTTAAAAATTGTACAGGAGAGGAAGAAACGTATAGCCATTTTCTTCAAGTATTTCGCAAAACTTTGAATACAACATTTTGCCTCTTTAAAGCAAAGCATCAGAGGGTTTCGATCTTTATTAAAAGATTTCGAACTATTTTGGCCTTATCAAATTTTTGGAGCTTTTTTGGACTTAGCAAATTCTCCTTTCATTGAATATAAACGAGAAATCATAAACCAAGACCTTTAGCTTTTTAGTTTATCTATCCTCCTGTATCAAAATATGACATTTCATAAAAAGTGAAATCAGCATTTTTTCACTCTAAGCTTGCGCTATGTGATTTTTACAATCAGTTAATCGTAAATTTGAAATAGTTTATTTCATGGTATTTTTAAATGCTTTCAAATATTGAATTTTTACTCATGTTCATAAAAGTTATGGCTCAATGTGACTCCCGGGATAAATCCTGGGATTCCGGGATTACTTAAAAAAACATCCCGAAATCCCGGGATCACAATTTTTTCATATTTTGGCATCCCTAGTTTATACATACATATGTAGATACTATGTAAAAACTCTAGATTTAACTACAAAGTGCTTCATCAAATATTATATTTTAACTCAGCTGATCAATTACGTTTTTATAAAACTTGTAGCATGTGCGTTCATACAACAGCGCGTGTCGGATTATATACATACATACATATGTATATACATACATGTATGTAAATTTAAGCATTTGGGAATTTGAACTCTAAGAATCTATAGTAAATTAACAGCACTATAGTTTTATTATGTACTAGCAGACCCGGCGAACTTCGTCCCGCCCAAAATAAGATTTTTAATTTAAACATTTTGGTCCAACAGTTTCTCCAACAATCCACATTTACGATTTTTACTGGCACATTCATTGGTTAAGACTATGGTTTCGTGGTCGTTTGCCGCCTTAAATAACCGAACAAAAGTGTTATGTCCATGAGAAGTTCCCTGGTGGCAACAATGACCCGGATCTAGAGTGAATGTGCCCTAGAAGCTTTATCTTATAGTTGGTGGCAATTTCAAAATGAATGCGTATCCTTGTTCAACAGAAATACAATATACATATATTGACTGAGATGAAATACCTTAAAAGCCAGTTTCGAGAAAGTAATTTAGGTGAAAAATGATTTTTTTCTGTTAGGTTCTATATTAAATTCATTAAAAAAATAAATTTTCATTAGACTGCTTTCATGAAACTAGCTTTTAAGGTACATATTTCGACAGGTGGTGATTTGAAATATACCACTGCTCAACACATACTCAACCCTGCCCTGCAGTAAATCGTGCTAGTTCAGAACTAGCGCAGAACTAGCTCCTTAATAGGCGGTACTGGTTCTCGATCTATCCCAACGCAATGCTTTCAACTGTCTCTTTTTACATGGCGATGTCCTACGAAGTGAAAATTGCCACCTATGCAGAACTTTCGAACTAGTTCTGAACTGGTTCCATTTTCAACAGTTCTGGGACAATAAGTTTTTTATGAGAAAAAATTCTAAAACTAGATTACTGGATATTTTTTTCTTTTCTGAAGAACTGTTTCCATTTTGGACAGATCTAGGACAATAAGTTTTTTTATGAAAAAAATTTGATTGATTAAGCATTAGATTTTTTCATTTTTTTTTAATTTTTTCTGTTGTTTTACATTTTATTTAATTTTTTATATTTTTATTTTACTTATTTTATTTAAATTTGATCATTTTCTCTTCAATTTTTAAGCGGCACTCAACAATTTTAATTTGTTAAATCTGAAAATCACAACTACCTCTACCGCGATTTGAACTCGCGACCAACGATGTTAGAGTCGGAGGTCTTCTCGCTGAGCTATCTGAGTATTGTACGAGACGTGAGAATTTGTGCATTTACTTCTCAACAGAGCGCAACTAGCACACCAAAAGTTTGAACTGTCCATCTCTGCAGCCGTTTTGCACTAGTTCAGAGATAGTTCTGAAATGTGTAAGGCGGAACTAGCGCTTTAACAGACTGTCTCTAAATTTTACTGCAGGGTGGTTTCTTCGAATGAAGCTTTAATGCATAATAATATTGGCAAATCAAATCCAACCGTAACACACGAGAGCTCGATATACTCAATGGTGCAAAAGGTCGATTTAGTCTGACATTTACGGCACCTTTTCTCACTCTTCAATTTTTAGTAATAACTCGACCTCAGCACCACCTGGCAATTGGACTGCCTTTACCGTTTCCAATACAAAATCGGAAAATAAAAAAGATTTTAAGTAATAACTCAACTCCAGCGCCAACTGGCGGATTAAATTGTGAAACTAAACTATCCAGAGACCAACTTAAACTAACACACAAAACTGTTTTAAAATCCCTCCAGCCATTTAGGATTTCATTCACAAATATACCTACAGAAGAATTATATACACATTCAAAGATAAATAAGAGTCAGTATGTTTGTAGTTTTCCACGCCCTCTTTTCAAAGAGCCAACTTTCCTCAATGAGTATGGGATTAATTTCATATATCCTCATACGAAGTATCCCAATACTGACCATGAACACTTCTAGAGATATGCAGTATGAAATTCGGCTTGTATGGTAGGTGTTAAAATCCCTCAAGCCATTTATGCTCACACACTCTATACCTACAGAAGAATTATATACACATTCAAAGATAAATAAAAGTCAGTATGTTTGTACTTTTCCACGCCCTCTTTCCAATAGCTCCATATTTTCTCCATGACTATGCGATTAATTTCTATATCACCACACCAAGATATAGTACTCTCCAAGACCAATTCTAGAGATATGCAATAAGAAAAATTCGACTTGTATAGGAGGTGCCACGCCCGTATAAAGTTTCAGGACTCAATCATGAACACTTCTTAATACTTATTATGAAAAATTCGGTTTGTATGGGAGGTGCCACGCCCCCTTTTCAAATAGTCCGAATTTTTCTTCATGAGTATGCGATCGATTTCATTTGCGCCAATACCAAGTACCAGTACTCTATCATGAACACTTCCAGAGATATGCAGTATGAAAATTTCGGTTTGCGTGGGAGGTAGCACGCCCCCCTTTTCCAATAGCTCAAATTTTACTCTAAGAGTATGCTATGGATTTCATATATCTCCATACCAAGTTCCAATAATCTACCATAAATACTTCCAGAGATATGCAGTATTTATGAAAAATGAACATGAACACTTCTTAATACTTATTATGAAAAATTCGGTTTGAAGAGGAGGCGCCGTCTTTTCCAATATGTCCAATTTTTCTATAAGATTATACGATCGATTTCATGTGCGCCAATACCAAGTTCCATCACTCTACCATGAACAGTTCCAGAGATATGCAGTATGAATATTCGGTTTGTATAGGAGGTGCCACGCCCCCCTTTCCGATGGTTCTAATTTTTCTCCAAGAGTATGCGATGGATTTCATATATCTCCATACCAAGTTCCAGAGCTCTACTATGAACATTTCCAGAGATATGGAGTATGAAAAATTCGGTTTGTATGGGAGGTTCCACGCCCCTTTTATATATCGAGATTTTTGTTAGCCGATAACCATCCTTTGAACGTCTGCAGCAGGTGTCCGAAATTTCAAAAAAATTGGTTCAGCCGTTCTCGAGCTTTGCGATATACATAGATGGATAAGAGTTGCTGCTTTTAATATTGCGCTCACTTACCTACAAAAAACATAGCAGCAGGGTTTTTATGCGTAATTATCAAGAATGATAGAATACAAGATTGCGCCAATGCGTTTCTAATCAAACGCATGAAATGATTTCATGAATTGGCCTACGCATAATGGTAGTAAATGACAGAAGGAATTATAACAAACACATCCTTTTGACGTAACGCAAGCCGAAAACGTTGGTTCAAATCAATCCGCAATCAAGTTGGACGTTTTGCCCACAAACATTGCAATTTTCGAAGCAGTCTCATTGTAAAATCTCATTTTTACAATTTCATAGTTTCGGCTTACATTTATAAAATTCAACGAAAGCACGTACCTATTTCGGCTGAGTTATCCATTTTCGGTTATTTAGTGTACAAAATAAACGCAAATTAAATGAGTTTGTACACCATGGTCATTAATGGAGCGATAAGTTGTACAACTTGCCAGAAAATCCAAATTTTTTTATCTTTCATACAACCAAGAGATAAATTCATTCAACAGGC